AGTTTCAAAAGCGAACGATTATGCATAATAATGATGTTGTTTTTTGAGTGATGAATTGGTTTGTAGTTGATATTTATTAAATATGTACTCGATTCATTGATATCAGTAATAATTCTGATGTACTTCCAGTATGAGAAACATTTTTTAAAATGTTGTTTTATTTTATGAGTCTCTGGATTAGATAATGTCTTCATTCGTCAATAGCTTTCTTCGTTTGAGCAGGGTTTTTTTGATTAAGTTAATTTTGCTCCTTTCCAACAATTTAACATTTAGTTTGAAAGAGAGCTTTCCTTTCAACTCGTGATTTTCCAATCATATGCAAAATGTTGATGTGGACCAATTCTTTACGTTGAATCGTACATTTAATAGTATATCTCCTTGTATTGTGATTATATGCTAATATTCCACCACTTCATTTATTTCTACTTATAATAAAGACTAGTGCTCATTTCATATTATCATTTCTATGAGTTTCATTGTTGTTGGATCTATCAGATTGCTTTATATAATGATAATAAAATGATAGTCATTAGAATAACAAAGACTTTGTTGAACTAGACCGGAAAACTGTGGAGAAGAAAAAAGTGTCTTATCCAGTTTTCGGGTAATAGTTTGATTTCAAATACTAAATGATAAAAGTATGGTGTGTGACTATAAAAATCAAACATGTCGAAAATTTTTTAAAAGGTCAAATGAAAACTAATATTTGAGCCTTTGTGTGAGTATTAGGTCCAGGGTGTGGGTGTGGGTGTGTATATCTTCTCTTAATATATAATCACACCCACACCCTAAGAAAATTTTGTCTTGTGTAACTACAAGTCCAATCTATATATTTTTCCAGTCTTCTATGATTTGGGTTGATTTAAAAACTATATAGCTCTTATTACTGGTTGAGCAATCTCTTCGAGGTTAGAATTTTGAACTAGGGTGTGGATGTGAGTATGCGTGCGTTCGGTTGAGCATTATTGATTAGAAAAATTACACACACCCTTTCGAAGTGGCCTGAAAATATTTGAAAATGAAATGTCGAAAATCAAAATATCAAAATATCCAAGTGCCCAATATAAAACTGTCGAAAGAAATGTTCTACTGGATGAAAGTATACAAAATAAATACTAAAACGAAATTGTTTGAAAAATGACCTTAATTCTCGCTTTCACCATCAAATGATAAATTTATACGATTAGAGAAAATTCTATTATAAAATACTTGCTTCGATTTATTTATTCATAAAAAAAATCTATAAACGACTGCGAAAAAATAAAATAATAAAATTGTTTAAGCTGAAATCTATTCAAATGACAATGATAAAAGTTTAATGAATAAGTATTTTCATAGAAATATTTTTAATATCGTAGAAATTTTTGTATTCGATGATTGAAACGATCTACAACATAGAGATTGAGTTGATTATCAAGTATGATCGAAGAGGGTGTGTCAAAAAGAGTAGAATTACTGCCAGTTATGCCGGTTCTACCAGCAATAGTTGTGCCATTTGTTTCACCAACTGGATAGAATTGTATTCGTTGATTGTTTCTATCAGCAACATACATATTACCCATCGGATCGAGTGTCACATCTGTCGGAGACTTTAGATGCATTGATGATATACCAGCTGTTCCATTAATATTACCTGCAACAAGTGTCCAACTACTTTCACCTAATACCCAACGAACAATATTGTGAGCACCTGTATTTACAATGAGAAGACTGTTCGACAATGAATCGAAATAAATAGCAGTAGGTAATGATAATTGTGTCTGATTTTTTCCATTACCATTTCCACCAGCAACTAGCGTACCAGAAGAATTATTTTGAAAATAACGCATAATTCGATGATTATTATAATCTGCTATATAAATTGCATCTGAATTTGGATCATGTGCAAGACCATATGGATCATCCAATTGATTTATTGAATTACCAGTAGTACCTATATAATACATATCGATACTAGAATTTGAATTATAAAATGAAGAAAAGAAATTTTCCCTTAAATGAACAAAATTATTAGCAAGTATGAGATAAATAAGCTTACTAGAAATATTCTAAAAGAATTGTATACGAACATATTTCTCTTACCATTTCCTGCAAATAGAGAGCCAGATGTTGCACCATTGGACCAAATAACAATTCGATCATTATTATTATCTGATACATATATATTACTGTTTTCATCGACAATAATACCTAATGGTCCACGTAGATAATTCAAAGTTAATCCTCCGGTTGCATTAGCTTGACCAGCAATTGTTGTACCTGCCGACATGTCCATCAAAAATTTCTGAACTCGATTGTTTCTTTGATCAGTAACATATAGTGCATTAGACCAATCCAATGCTAGATCCCATGGTTGATTCAATTGATTAGAAGTATTTCCGGACATAGTTGTTATGCCGGCTATGGTAATTCCAGATGTATTCCATCGAAGTACTGCTACTTTAGCTATGAAAGAAAATCCTCAGTGAACTTATATATATCGAATCATTTTTCTAACGAAATGCGACTATTTTAGACCGAGTATATATTAAAACTGTGTTTTTTAATCCTATTTGTTGAAACAATTCTTTGATACCTTTGTGTGAAAAATGATTCTGGCAATTACTCTTCTAGATAATCTACATGGTTCAGTTGAAATTTTTTTTTATGTATTGATTCTAATATGAAAAATAGAAGAAGAATAATTGTCTTACTACTACTAGTACTTGTACTTGTTGTTTGTGGTTTGATCAAAAAAATGAGAAGTGTTGTGATAATAACCGCAATAACAAGAAGAATACTAATAATTAAGGCTGCTAAACATTGTTTCGAATATCTATATTATAATATGAAGAATATTAAAGGTTCAAAGAAATGGAAACATGCGAGAATTGATAAGAAAAAAAACTTACAATTTCTTTTGATTATTCTTTGAATCTTGATGATGATCATTCGTAGTATTGAAATTATCCGACCATACATTTTTTCTCTAAATTTTTTTGTTTGTCAAAATCAATAGATAATAAAAAGAAATTTAAAAAAAAATGAAATTACTGCATGATGAGCCACTTTAGATGGCTTTAATCGAAATTTTCTAATTTTCGAGACTGTTACATAGAGATCATTTCTTTTGTTTTCAAATGTCTATTAATAATATTAAGAAAGATATTTTATTCTTGAACATTAGATTAAACTTACTTGAGGTTGGAGAAGAAAATGACGATGAATTTTATTGACATTAACAAAATTCATTGAATTCGTTTGAAATTCTGATGATTTCTGAATGATAGATGAATTTTCTGATTGATCTCGATAATCATCAGTATTAATAATATTTGAAATCTATATTGATAAAAGAAAGAAATATAAAACAATTAAAAATAGATAAAATCTAACTGAAAATAATTTATTATTATTCCTTTGAATAGAATTATTGTTGGTAGGATGACTGGTTCGTAATGGTCGAATAGTTGCATGAATGATACTTTTAGATCTTGTTTTCCTTATTGACGAATGATTCTAATAAATAAAACAATCTCTTACAGTATGAAGAAAATAAAAAAGAAAGATCTAATCAAACTGACATGATTTGAGAATGTTTCAAAATGATGATCAATGGAAGAATTATTGAGATGTGAACGATTGAAAATTCCATATTCTAAAAAATGATAATTCACATTTGAAACAATCAAACAAAGTATTTCATTATCATCTTTACTTGTGTGAAACAACATTCGACCAGTTATTCTTGTCAATATATTTTCAAATATGATAGAATGATTCTTTTAATTTACTTTTTCAATCAAAAAAAACTATACAACTGATTCTTCTGGCGTCATAAATAAAAATTCAATTAAAATACACTTATTATATTGAAATGCGTCATATGAAATTATTGTATCATTCACAATAGCATTTATATGAATTCATAAAACGAACATCAATAGAAAATAAAAATAAACTTCATCTTTAATTCATTCTATCTTGAACATATAGATGTACATATGAAGGTTGTATCAAGAGAAAACGAGTAAAGCAAAACACTTTATAATGCTGTAATATAAGATTATTATTTGTGACCAGAGGAATTTTTGTTATCTACGAATAAGTTTGTTCATTGGCTATTTAATGTTGCTGATTAAAACGGATTAACATATAGTCATGTTATATTTATATTGTTACATCGTCAATAATATACCATTCAGTACTATTAAATTCTCAAAATTAACGAAATTCACAAACAATGAAAAGTACAAAAAAAGATCAACAACGTAACATATTTTAATTTATTTTTCTTCGTCCTATTCAAATAGAAACAACGAACTTCAAGAAATTTACTTTACTATATTTTTCATTTCCATATTTGAAATTAACAAACATTTTCTTCATGCTCATTATTCTTAGAATTGAAAGATACTTTGTACATTGTATAAAGAATTCTAGATACTTCTCTTTTTCCAATGATCTGATAGAATCAAGAGAACATGAAAATTCTATTTCAAATATTCAACGGATAAGTTTGAAATATATTATTATATGACAATGAGATCAAAAGTGTGGGTGTGGGTGGGTGTGTGGTGTGCGTACGGGTGTGAAGTGTGAGTGTCGACTTGGGCATGAGAGTAATGCCCACACCCACACCCACATCCACACCCTCAAGCAAAAGGGACCTTTGATACCGTGTATGATGCCGGAGAAGATATTTTTCGATCGTTCACCTATAGTCTCATACTCTGTACCATCACACAACGTTATAAATCCAGTCATATACGCTGTAACCAATATGTCATGAATCCTAAACGGTGCAAAATTAGCGCAAATCGGAAGATAGCGAACATTTGTTCAAAATGTAATACATTAGATGTTATGGTGTTTGTGCGTTGGATTCTAATTTTATATTCATTCATCTGCACCTAAAACCTTCCCAGCAACGTGCTCAGTCAACAACCTTATCTACTTTACAGGTTTGTGATACATGTAGTTTCACTCTAACAGACATTCATTCAACGACAGCATTCTTCACTGACAGTATCGTGGAGCATGTTCAAACGTTGATGGCAGTCTGCTTGTGTCTTCGCCTAGTTGGAACCATACTGTCACGGTATTCGAAACCAAGCACTACCAACTTCTCTATCAATGTTCAATCTTGATCACCACCTATCTTTATTATCAAAATAAACTGATTGACACTCATACTTGCACATGAAAGAGACATAGAAGCGCAACAAATAGTAAAGAACAATGAAAAGAGACTGAGATGCCATGCCCAGGAGTAGATTTAATACTATCATCAGGTAACAAATTCTCCAATTTGAATGTCCATGTCCATTCACTTTGTAGTAAATGAAGTTTGATTGCTGAAGCATCGATCACAATACCACGATCTCCACTAGCTATATTCCATGGAACTGAATCAGCAGTTGAACCCAAAAGTGTCACAATTGTTCTTGGAGAACTTAACGGAGCACCAAGTATTATTTCATTGCTATCTTTTGGCCATATAAGAAGAAAAGCATAGACAAATTTATTGTCTTTTGATGACGTATACCTAAGGCAAGAAAAATCTCCGCAACTTCTCTATTTAATTAGACTTACCAAACATTTGGATTGATGGTATCATTTTGATATTTCCATGGTTTAGTAGCATAGATAGCTTCACCATTGACTTGTAACCATGAACCCATCTGTCGAAGACGTTCTTGAAATATTGGTGAAATCTTTCCATACATATTGGGACCAACATTGATCAAGGCATTTCCTCCAGTGCTGAACAAAAAGTAATAATTTTAATTTTTTTAATGAAAATTTTGAACAAAGAAATAGTAACAACCTTATTGTAATAACTATTTCTTTGAGCATTTCTTCAATCGTCATATAATCCTATATATTAGCAGCAGGACGATAACCCCATGATATTTTGTCGATCTATTCAATTATAATAACTATTAAAATTCATTTAAACTTTTGATGACTTAACGTCATACGGTAAAAGCATTTTCCCATTTATGCTCAATTAAATATCCTGGATTGTAACGATCTGCACAGGTATAGAAATCGCCATGTTTACATGGAGTATCTCTACCCCATCGATCATTGACAACCTATACAAACTCACTAGATGTATGTTGATCGTTTACTATAGACTAATTCGTACGACAGTGTCTTTCACAGGACTTTCATTGTAGAGCCAAGCTAAAAATTGAGCAGCCTTCCAATAGGTATCAGGTGCTTCTGAAATAGAATGTAAATACATTCGAAGAATAGAGATCAATTAACAAACGCCATTCGCCATCAGACCAGACTATTTCAGGTTTGTATGTTTCTACGAGTTCTCTGAGTTCAGGCAGTGCTTTCGTCTATAAAGATACATTCTTCATCTAATTCTGTTTCATTCATAGCGAACATTTACCTGTGGAAAGTATTGCGTGGTGAAATTGTTGGATTTATCTTGTAGATAGACTGGATTGAACCATTCAAACAATGAATAATATAAACCAAAGACAAGATTTGTTCGATTTCGAATAGCTGCAGCTAGATCTCCTGAAAATTTCACATTGAAAAAAAGGAAATAGAACTAAGAAAATCTTTCGAACCAAGTAAATTTCGTTTTGGACCAACATGCATGGAGTTCCAATTAAAATTAAATGTCGATGGCCACATAGCATAACCTTCATGATGCTATTTTCGAAAGACAAGAGAAACTATTTCGTTGATATTATAATATCAATGCATTTGAAACTGACCTTGCTAGTAAGAACAACGTACCTGAAGTGAGAATATGAGATATTTCTATGAAAAGCGAAAAGTATCGACTTACTTTGCACCAGAAGCAGCAAATAGATCAGCCCATTCATTTGGATCTAAAATGCAGAGAAATTGTCAATGTTTTCCGAAGAAATTTCTGATTGATATTTACCAAAGAGATCCGCACGAAACTGTGGACCAAAATTTGCATAAGTCCAATCTGGTGGATAGTTTTTCTTCATATAAGCTATAATGTCCTCATGTGGATTAGTACCTTGCCAATACCACCACATCCTATTAATAATTCGAACAAACAATTTTGTTTTTCTTCTGTATCTTTCGAACATATAATAGATGCGTTTCTAGTAACTCATAAAGTAAACCTACCATTCGGTAGAGACAGCTGGAACGCTGTACAAACCCCAATGAATGAAGATACCTATTTTACTTTCATCATACCATCTGGGTAATGGGCGTGCATCGAGTGATGTCCAATCAGGAGTATATTGTTGTTCACTCACTGATAGAAATGAACAAGATAGAAGAGCAACGAATATCAGTTTTGCTATGCAATAACACATGTTATTGATCTAGAAAAGAGAAGTAATACGATAAACGAAGGCATCTACAGAAGAAAAAGAAAAATGAAGAAAATTGAGAGCATGAGCATGGATTAGAATTAGAGTTTCATATAAGTCACAATTAGTAATAACTAATAGTTCAACTCCATTTTGACACGTTGGATAGTCAGCATCAATTCGGATATGAAAAATTCGAACTCGTTGCCGGTGATGTGTTTTAAGAAATAAACGATTGATCAGTTGTATTTCAAAATAACTGCACCATATCATAATCTTTGTATTCTTGCTATATAGAGACTTCGATACTCGTTAATAATCGCATTTTACAAAGTCAACAATGAAGATATTTTCTATGTTAGCGATAGTTAGTTCTATGGCAAACTCACTTTTAAGTTGTATAGTAAGAGAGATTTTCTTCAAATTCGAAAATAGAGGGAATTGCGTTCTGTCACCAATTTTTCGATCACGTTAGACAACATTCGAACAAATGACAGAATACGGATTGCTTCTGTCGCTTTTATTGTACTTTGTTACACAGAAAAAAAAGAGTTCTTGACTTATCTGTAGTGATTTATAAGCTCCATTTATGACACTTCTTTTAGAAGCTTGAATTTTTTTTCGGAACAATGGCTTTCAAAATTCTTATGAAGAAAGTGACATGCATAAGTGAACAATTATGTCTAATATATGCTTACATATCTTTCAAGTCAATTTTATTTTAGACGCTTGTCATCATTAAAACGTTCATTTTTAGAATTCAAAGGTATTTCTTGCCTTTCTTGAAATAAATTTTTCTGTTTTTTGCTGTTCTGACGTCGATAAGCTCTTACTTGTTTTAGATGTTTGAAAGCTCGACAATATTGAAAAATTAAAAAGAACATTGTGCTGTACAACTAGGCAGAGCTAGATCTTTCATTTATAACTTTCTCGAAAACAAAATAATTTTTCAAATATGTTCAGAAAATCGGAATCTAGCTGTAGATCTAATCTGATGACAACAAAAAAAGAAAAGATTAAAGTTAATTCTTTGTCCTTTTAGTTTTCTTTGTGGCGGAATTATATATTTGTGCATGGCGAACGTAAGTCGCTACTTTCATTTTGGAAGTAGTTGAGATAGAAGCAAAGAATGATATATTGCGTTAATTCTTGATTATGATTCTCTTGTTTCAATTTTCAAAAGAAGTTAAAGTCAATATTCGAATGAAGTGTCATATAATCAAGTGCTATATAATCCAGTGTCCTATAGAGAAATGTTTTATGGAGAGAGACCTTGAAAGAGAGTCAGGATTAGAATTGTTATATTGATATCATCGCTTTGAATTGTATTTTTTTTAATTGTAGACAAGAAAAGTCGTGATAAAAATAACGTTTGAAGCTTCAACTCAAAACGAATGTATGATGAAAGAAATATTGAAATTACAAGTATAAATACTGGAGTTATTTCTTCAATGCTAGACGCTTAGTTAATAATTCATTGAACCGTCAGTAGAAAGGACAGATAGATCATATTCCACTAGAGGTCTACAATTTGTAACATGAAATCTTTTCATTTAGTGGACTTAATTTGATACGAAATAGTCTCATCTGAAAGAGTATCTCTAATTTTACTAGGAATATTTTACAAAAGTTTGATATGTGAAATCTCGATATACAACTTTTTTGAGAAAAATTTTGCATAATGATATTGTAATGAACTATGACAATGAATTTTGATATAAAAGGAAGGCCCTCAAGATTTTTTTTGTGCTGCCTTCAACTTGTAAGTATCTCTGCATTGAATATTTCGATACACATGGTAGAGCGCTGTTAGTAGAGGATGTGGGTGGGTGTGGCTAATAACTACTCATAGTCACACCCACACCCACACCTTATATTTCAATCAAAATAAGAAAATCAGTAAAAAAAAATAATCAACAAGATTTTTATATTGTTATTCTTGTAAAAAATTAAATGGTATATCTTTTTTGGAGTGTGGGTGTAGGTGCAGCTGAATAGAAGACGAACATCCACACCCTAGAAAATAATCGCGTCGGAAATATTATTTATCATAATTCTAATAGTTATTGGTAAAAGTTCGAAGGTTCTTTCATTAATAATAATATATTGTAGATAATCGATTATCTTTCTATATAACAACAAAATAAAATCGTGTCTTGATAATGAGCAAATGATTATCAAATGATTGTAGAGATATAAAGCGACAGTCAAGAGCAATATCTAATGAATGTAAAATTTGTGGCGTGCCAACGATATATTCGTACTGCGATGTTATATCATGTCAACTATACAAAGTTTTTTTCAGACGAAATGCTGAACAAGGACGAGTCAATTAAAAAATAAGTTTTTCGTTTCAATAATGTTTATTTATTTTTTAAGATACATTGAAATATGATTTTGATGGTCATTGTGAAATAAATCTCAATACTCGTCATGTCTGTGCTTATTGTCGACTTATGAAATGTTTTGCAAGTGGAATGCAAACTCAAAGGATTCGATCTTTATATCCAAAAACGAACAAAACAAATCAAAAGAGAAAACTAATCGTTGATATAATTCAAACAACATTAAAAGCTTTAGTTAGATTATTTACTCTCCGTAAAACCTTTCAAAGAAACTTTTATTATTATTTTCAATCATATAGACTCTTAAAAAGTAGTTTACTGAGTCGATAGAAAACATTCAGCTTCATTAAATCATCATGAAAAAAAAAAGAAATTCATAATGGAGATGAATATAGAATAATATTAACTATATCAATCATACAATTATATTGAAATTTATTATTGAAATAGAAACATTTTTTATTTGAATTTCTAATTCGATCTGTAACAGTTCATCAATTGAACATCACATGTCTGCTGTAATGAAGTTTTCACACATATGATGAATAGGATAAGATGTTACTTCCAGTTGTATCAGTTCTCACTCTTATGAAAAGAGCTGTATAATGGATATCCGCTCACTGCTCAGATGGACCTGTAATACACCTATTTCTAGTGATATAAAAGGAAATGAACTATATATGTGAAGTACTTTCCTTTGTAGCAATATTCTTGTTTATTTATGTTTAGTTTCCAACATTGAATTTGTTAGAACGAGAAAAATCAAAATTAACTGTTGACCAATGAAATCTTATTTTCAATTCATCTCATTATTATAATGAACATCATAGAATATCAAGAGGTAAATGTTATATGCATGAACAAAATAATTTACCAATAAATTTACGTTTTAAAAGTTCAATAATGGTGGAATATCTTCAAATGTCATTAGATTGAGTTCAATCATTATAGAAAAACAATGAAGATTTTCTTTCTTTATCTTCAGATGATCGTTCTATTTTACTTTTTTAAATATAATTCGACATACAACAACTCTTTTAGCAAATTACATATTTTATCAAATAGGATTGTTGTCTAATCCTACTTATTACAATACAATTGAACATGAAATTCATCGAAGTACAGTATCTGTTGTTAAACTTCTTTGAAAATCGATTATTTCTTGCTCTATTCTCTTTCTCAACAATAATCTTTATATATTATTCTGCTATTCGTTCTGTTGATTTCTCAAATATAAAACAAATTTTTGATATTCGAAATACGTATATTTAATTAACATGGAAATATTTTATCTATAAATATGCCTTTCCAACGATCATTAGTTTACAGTTGTTTTATAGTATATATTTTCGATTAACTTATGACAATAACTCCAACTAGATACGTTCGATGCTCAAATATAAATAAAAAAAGATAATATCGATAAGCTTCGTTTTGGTATAATTTCTTGGAATTGTTAATATAACTATTCAAGATTGAAAGATTTTTCAAAAAAAATTGACGAGTATTTTCTTTCGATATAATTGTGGTTTTTGATCTAAAATAAAATAACAGGTGACAAATATTAGAATTGTTTAAATATTGTTTCTATATGATTTTTATTTTCATTTAATGTTTATCAGCATTTTCATAGAGAATTCTTGTTTTCTTCATACTCTATATTCAATGAACTTATATCAAACATGATTAAATCATATTTATTAATCTCGATTGGATCTTACGATTTTTCTTCGTTTTCTTTAGAAAATTTCACTGAGGAATTCTTCAGAAAATTATTGACAATTCGTTCTAAATAAAATAAACAAATAAGATTACTCATTAAAAAAATAAGCAATAATTAGAGAGATTAAACTCAATATCCTAAACTATCAATCTGTACTGTTATCCATTGAAAATACGAACAAAAACAACCATTAATTCATCTTTATTCCTAACTCAGGATCACTAACCAGTAATTCGATTAATGTTTAAGTTCAATCAGCTCAAACCAGATATGATGTTCGACACTGTTTTGTTCCATATCAACGACATCGCATTAATAGAGCATTATGTCCTATTGCAATAAATTACGAAGTAATTACATAGTCAAAACTATCTGATGAGATCATTTAGCAAAGTCGAAAAACGTCATACTTTGCTTGACTTACTCACACCTATCGAGATCTTTCGTTTGAAACCAAAATGAGAACTTTCAGAAATGAATAAAACATGAAAAAAAGCTCTTGTAGCAGATGCCATTTAGGATGAGAAGAGAGCATTCTTCGTTAAAATAGTATTGTACCTATAGCTTTTAATTTGATTAAGATATCAATCTGGGAGTTTTTTATTTTCGTTATTAGATTCAATGCAAAGAACTGTATCTAAACATGTTTCTGTTTTCATGCTACTAGCGAAGTTTTTCTAAAACAAGATTGATTTCTAATGAACTTATTCAACTGTTGTTACCAGTATGAGACTTAAAAGTGAAGTAGTTATAACTCGAGTTAAAAACTTTTAAGTTATAATTGATCAGATTTTCCGTGAAAAAGTTAATTGAGTTGAAACTATCAACTGTAAAACGTTGACATGTTCGATAATACAGATGAATATATACTCTGGGGTTTCGAATATCCTCGTACAATTTCAAACGGTTATTTTAAAGCAGATCAAATGATCGGT